TGCTGTCAAGAGGGAGGAGTTTAGCTGCCATCAGGAGGGAGGAGTTTAGCTGCCGTCAAGAGGGAGGAGTTTAGCTGCCGTCAGGAGGGAGGAGTTTAGCTGCAGAAATTAAGCTTCCCTCCGCTTTTAAACTGTTATGTATGGAACCCAAAACATGTAAATATTTAGAAAAGTACAGAAATTACACAAACAAAAAGTCACAGCTGTCTCCTTCTGGACGAGCCGAACGTGCTGATTTACAAACAGCTAAAATACCTCAAAGTGTGCCCAAGTTATTAAACTGCAAAAAACAAACAGAAGAATAAAAATCATTTCAAATATGATCATAAAACATTTGAATTCAATGTTTTTGCTTCGACCCTCTTCATTATAACGAGAGTTGTGCTGATGTGACGCTGGTTTCTGACGGGCGACCCGTCAGCTCCTGACTCGGTTCTGTTTCTGCTCAGAGTCACGGCTGAGGTGGTCCGGGCTCTGGCGCTGGCCGACCCCTTCGTCTCCACGAGCCATCAGTTGCTCTCGGATTCTGTCAGCTGGTTGATCCGCAGAACTCAGCAGGCGGACGGATCGTTCAGCGAGAACTCCTCCTTCAAACGCAACAAGTTCATGGTGAGCTCTTCGTCTCCTCCTCTTCGTGTCCCCGGGGCCGGGGACCTGGTTTGTGACGCTGTCTTGTGTTGGGCTGCAGGTGGAGGGAGGAGATAAGGAGGAGCAGTCAGTATTTGTGACGTCCATTGTGCTGATGGCTCTGTGCCAGGTATCGAGCATCAAAGACCCCATTCTGCAGCTCCAGGTGAGGACACACCTGTTTTGTTGTCATGGCCTGAGGTGAGAACATCTGGACAGGTCAGGTTCCGACCTGTCCAGGTGTCCTCACTGGGCCAGCAGCTCTGCAGGACACTGAACCTCGGTCCAAACCTCTAGAAAACTCAGCTCATCACGTCGCAGAACTTTCATCTCACTCTGTTTCCTCCCTCTCAGTCACACGACATCAGCATGAACTCTGCAGCAAACTACATTTCCCAGCATGCCCTGAAGGTGCAGAGTGTGTACGTGCAGGCGGTGGCGACCTACGCCCTGACGCTGCATGACCCCAGCAGCATGGGAGCCTCTCAACTGCTCGGCAACCTGGAGACACTCGCCCGGCAGAAAGGTGAGGAATCTGCTGAGATGCTCAAAGAAAATATGTTGTTGTTGTTGTTGCCATTGTTTTGTTATTATTATTGTTGTTGTTGTTTTTGTTGTTGCTATTGTTGTTGTTTTTGTTACTGTAGCTATTGTTGCTGTTGTTGCTGCTGTTGTTACTGTTGCTGTTGTTTTTGTTGTTGCTATTGTTGTAGTTATTGTTGTTGTTGTTTTTGTTGTTGCTATTGTTGTAGTTATTGTTGTTGTTACTGTAGCTATTGTTGTTGTTGTCATTGTTGTTGCTGCTTTTGTTTTTGTTGCTGTTGTTTCTGTTGCTGTTATTGTTTCTGGTGTATTTGCTGCTGTTGTTATTGCCATTGTTGTTGTTGGTGCTGTTGTTGTTGTTGTTGTTGGTGCTGCTGCTGCTGCTGTTGTTGCTGCTACTGTTGTTGTTGTTGCTGTTGTTATTGTTGCTATTGTTGTTGTTGCTGCTGTCATTTTTGTTGCTCTTGTTGTTGCTGCTGCTGCTGTTGTTGTTGTTGTTGTTGTTGTTGTTGTTGGTGCTGTTGTTGTTGTTGTTGTTGTTG